TTTATTTATTTTATTTCTTTTTCTCTACTCAGGTGCTCTACCAACTATCATATGTTTACTTTGTCTGCTGTTAAAATATGGTTTTAACATAGTAAACTTTAATTATTTAAAATTTGCTAAGTTGATCATTAGCTAATAGTTTTAAAGGAAATTAGTTGTCATAATCACAATGTCACAATATATATACTAGGTAAGTATATACATGTTACAAAAATATGACGTGTGTTATGTGTCCAATTATCTATGCGTTTAAAATGTCGGTTCTACTCTGTAAAACATACATTTGTAAATAACACGTATTCTGAAAAGTTTCAAATGTGCATTTAATACCAAGAAAACATCTTTTTGAATAATATCTAATTACTGTGTTTTATGCGCAATTACAAGTTACAAATGCAAGTTTGATACTCAGTAGGATTCACATTGCATATTTGTTTTTAAATACATCTGAAGCGGATTTCTTATGCATGTTTGACACAATAAAATGGCTAACATAAATATCAGAATGATGCATATTCAAACAAGTTTTAAATGTGTATTTATAACTTAATGTGCTGGCTAGGAAGATAGATGTAACAAATGTGAAAGTATGAAAATAAATCCTTTACCTGACTCAAATAAATAAATACATGTTTACCCACAGCTACTGTGTTTTGCCAGAATAGTGGATAAAACACTTGCTCAGCTGTGCAACAAATTACTATAATAGTAAAAAAATTTTAATATTGATGTTCAAGAGATTTTAATTAACATTCAAGAGTTTTCTGTTGGAATAGTTCACCATTCATCATTAAATAAGATTTTAGTTTTTTTTTTATAAATAATGTTTTTTTTCGTCACGGATGTAATTTGGTAGTATATTCCAAAGTTTAGGACCATAGTGGGGTAATGCTCGATTATCAAAGCGATTGCTGCATTTTGTTTCCTTTAATTTTAGTGTTCTTTCTGACATTGAGTAGTGAATTAAATTGGATAATGACGTTGGTGCTACTAGTATAATAGATTTGTGCACAAAAGGACCTTGAAATATATTATTTTTCTAATTTTCAGACAATTCAATTTGTTAAATTGTTATATATATATATATATATATATATATATATATATTATATATAATATATATATATATTAGTATATCTAGGACTAGTACATTATATTGAAATAAAGGAAGGAATGCTTTTAGTGTTTGATGATCATTTGAGTATCCAAAGGTTTTGACATTCAGATATTTGTATAGTGGTCTCATATAGATATTAAGAAGTTTTGGATCCAGGACTGTACCTTGTGGTGCTCCATATTTTACATTTTGGTTCGTGAAATATGAGTTACCAATTTTAACTTTTTGAGTACGGTTAACTAAAAATGATTCAAACCACTTTTAAGCTGAGTCAATTATACCTATTTCACTGGTTATATAGTTCAAGTAGTTTTTGCTGATCAATAGTGTCGAAGACAGCACTTAGATCAAGTAACATTAGTACTGAAGGTGTATTTTTATCAAAGAGTTCAAATATATCATTGGTAAGCTTAATTAAAAGTGTTTCAGTTGAGTGATGTTTTTTGTATCCATATTGATGTTCTATATGAAGATTTCAACCCATATATGTATAAATGTTTGTAAATTAATTTGTAGTTGATATGCTGGAATCGGATAATCAGGAGAACATTTTACTCCAAATGACATGGTGATTTTGTAAATTACTTCATATGTCGTTGGATCAAAATTTCTTAAAAACTGCCTATTATAATCTGATGCGCTTTTCTTTGTATTATAATATTGATATTTGAAGACCAGGTCTGAGTTTTCTGATTTTTTCAGTAAAATAATTATTTGAGTTCTTAGCTAGTTCTTCATTCGAATCTATCTAGTAGCTTGTTTACCAATGAGAATAAATTTTTACTTGTAGTATTTTTATGTAATAGGTTAGAGAAATATGTTCTTTTTTTTATATACGCAATCTTTGTTGTTTTTTTCCTGAGGCGTCTACATTCTTTTTTGTCACTCTCATTTTTTGTTCTCCTAAAGTGGCGGGATAGCTCAGATGGTTAGAGCGTTAAAGGAAAAGTGAAAACCCGGACTGTTGAACGATACGAGTTCAAATCCTGCCACCGCCAACTCAGCGCTTGAGTAGTACTTCGGTACGCAAAAATGTTGGTCAATAACGGACGCTACTTTGGATTAGTCTTAATGACTATTTGTGGCTGTTCCTATGCTAAGCCAACAATATCTTCGGATATAAGAACATTGTATAGAAAAATATAGCATGAAAACTCAAATAAATAAAAAATAAAAAAAACAATTTTTCTGCTTTTCTTCATTTTTACTCAAGTTACATATATTCTCTGTTAAATGAAGGAGTTATTTTGACTATTTTATTCTTTTTATTTTTAAAGGAGCATGTTTCTGCAATCTCTTTCATTATTTGGTTATATATGGTTATTTTGTCTTTTTTTTTCTATTTTTTGTTCTACTTTAAAGTTGATGAGAAAATGATCACTCAAATCTAAGTGAGCACAACTACTGATATTTCATCTGGCTTGTTAATTAAACCTCTAGCATGTGTCCCATTTATTGAGTTGGTTCTTTGATATGTTGTGTTAGATTAAGTACATTTAGCATTTCTTTAAAGCTTTTGCTTTAAAGAAATGCTAAATGTACTAATACTAATAAATAGTTCTTATCTAAGTGTATGTTTATATCATCCACTATAACGTATTTGCAACCTGTTGATACTATTGTTTCAAGTAAATCCATGAATTCATCCAGAAATGTTATGTGAGACACAAACAATAGTCTATAAATGCAAATTAAAATTAGTGATCTTTTGGCTACCGTAGTTTTAACACACACATGTTCAAAGGAGTGAAACTGTTTATTTGGTAGTTGTTTGTGCTTAATTAACTGTTTTAACATAATTCCTACCCCTCCATCTTATTTTGCGCCAAAAAACATATCCATAATTTTTTATTATTGCTGTTGTATTATTGTTTTCAGAAGTCATCCATGTTTTGGTAATAAAAACTGTCTGGATTCCGGTCAACTATATGCTCCATTACATCTGGAAGTTTATGTTATGTGAGACACAAACAATAGTCTATAAATGCAAATTAAAATTAGTGATCTTTTGGCTACCGTAGTTTTAACACACACATGTTCAAAGGAGTGAAACTGTTTATTTGGTAGTTGTTTGTGCTTAATTAATTGCAGATGAATCTCAGATAATTGAAATTTGTTTATGGAGCGACTTTTGTGTACCACAGAACTAAAATAGTTTTATGATAATTGCTTTAAAAATTTTTTTTTTAGAGCAATTTTCAGCTCTATTGTCAACTTCGTCATCAATTTTGTGAACTTTTGATCAAATCAAAAAAAACTATTTTATAAATTTGTAGGTTTTTGTATTTCATTTTCAAATAAAACAGAATGTTTGGATTAGTGTTTAAATTATATTTACTATTGCAACCAGCTTAAAAATTGTAACCAACATAATAAATATATAATTTTTTTTTAATTTTGTAATGAATCTTGTATTATTATTTGTATAGTGCTAACATACCTATTCGTCATGAACAAAAAAAAATGTTTTGCAATCTTTTTTAGTTTTATGCAAAACTGCATTAAAGTATTTACATAATAATTTATTATTAAAAGCTAACAACTATTACCATTAACAAATAGGACTAACAACTAGGTAACAGAGTAAAAAAAAACCAACCAGTACAGGTCTTATTGACAATGGAAAAGCAATTTATTTATACTTTGTTTAAAAAATTTGTTTTTAAACTTTATCCCTATTTAAAAAATTACTTCATCAAATGTAATCATATAAAGCGTTTTCTGGAAAAACACCATTTACTAAAGTAAATAAAAATGAATATCATTAGGCTGCATGTCCACAACCAGGTTTAGTTTGCAACATTTTTATATTAAAACCACACTTTCAAACAACTTTTTATTACTTTTAATGGAAATTAACTGTCAGTAACAATTAATAGAGTAAAACTTGAAATTCAATTTAATCTGAACCACAAAAAGTAGAGAGACTGTTGGTTCTTGGCTGACAATATATGACAAAATTAATAAGCAAAAGCAAAGTCTTAAACATCTTATGGTAAAAACAAAAATATAAATTTATAAAAAAACTAACATATATATATATCTAAAAACATATATTTTTATGCATAAATATCAATGATTTAAGAAAAAACTGAAAACCCCCAAATTTATCCTTTAAAGACTTTTTTAATGAGAAGACAAGAAGCATTTTTTCAAGGATTTTTTAAATCAAATTTTAATAAGTATAATGTTTGTTAATAAGTTTAATAACATTTAATAAGTATAAAATTTTAATAAATATAATGATCCATTTGAACAGACTGAACAAATAATTATGTAAATTTACTAAAGTATATAAAAATGAATACCATCAGGCTGCATGTCCACAACCAGGTTCAGTTTGCAATGCTTTTATATTAAAACTACCCTTTCAAACAAATTTTTATTACTTTTAATGGAAATTAACTGTCAGTAACAATTAATAGAGTAAAATTTGAAATTCAATTTACTCTGAATTACAAAAAGTAAAGATACTGTTGGTTCTCGGCTGACATAATGTTGATTAAAATTAATAAGCAAAAGCTGAAAACCTATATCTTTATGCATATAAAATATCAATAATTTAAAACTGAAAACCCCCTAAATTAATCTTTAAAGAGTTTTTTAATGAGAAGACAAGAAGTATATTTTCTATGATTTTTTAAATCAAATTTTAATAAGTATAATGACCTTTAATAACATATTTTGAACACTTTGAACAGACTGAACAAATAATTATGTAAAATTTATGCTTATTTAATTATGCTTATTTATCCTGAGACTATAAGCTTGAAATAATTGTTTAAGGATTTTTAAGAAAATCACATTCAATGTTAGAAACTTCATTTCTTAACAATACATTTTTTATATAATTTTTTTAGTTACAAATCAACAAAAAACCTACCTCTACAGTGAAAGATTTATCTGTAGAAGAAGAACTTATTGTGTAATGTGTTTCAGAGATAATAAATTCATTTCCATTATATTTTACTTTATAGATCAACTTTTTATCTCCTTTCCAATGTGGAGATTTCCAAATTATTGTAACAGAATGATCACTGTTAAAGTGTGTAACTACATTTTGCACTGAACCAGGTGCTTGTATTAAAAAAAAAAATTATGCAAAATAGATAAATGTTAAATAAAAATATGTGAAAGTTTTTATCAACTCACAGATAATAACAATCAAAAACAGGAAAGACTCACCCATATATAAGTATACTTTAATCGACACTTTATTTAACAAATTAACATTTTATCTGTGTTTTACTATACTTATATTCTATCTGACTATAATTTTATAAAATATTATTATTTCATTCTACTTATGGCCATAACATCATCAATATGAAGTGTTAAACTGTTTTAAAAAGTGTATTTTTATCACATATTAAGCAGATTTGTGGCTGGATGGCTCAGTTGGTTAGAGCGCCAAAAGGAAAGTTAAAACCGGGACTGTTGCACGTTACGGGTTCAAATCCTGCCACCGCCAACTCAGTGCTTGAGTAGTACTTCTTATGCTAAAATGTTGGTCAATAAGGGACGTTACTTTGGAATAGTCTTAATGACTATTTGCGGCTGTTCCTATGCTAAGTCAACAATATCTTCGGAAAAAAATATTGTATAGAAAAATATAGCATGAAAACTCAAAAAAATGAAAAAATTAAAAAACTATTCAGTATAAAACAAAATTAAAATTTAAAAAAAAAAAAAAACGATGTTGGTAAAAGAAAAAAGAGATTGACAGGGAAATTAATAAAGTAATAAAATAAAGTAGATAAATAAAAACAGTTATTAATATAACATAACTATCATCTATTACACATCTTCATCTATTACACCTATCATCTAGTATACATCTTCATCTATTATACCTATCATCTACTATACGTCTTCATCTATTATACCTATCATCTATTATACACCTTTATCTATTACACCTATCACCTATTATTCATCTTCATCTTTATAATAGGCATAATAGATGAAGATGTATAATAGATGATAGGTGTAATAGATGAAGATGTATAATAGATAATAGGTGTAATAGATGATGTATAATAGATGATAGGTGAAATAGATGAATATGTATAATAGATGATAGGTATAATAGATGAAGATGTATAATAGATGATAGGTGTAATAGATGAAGATATATAATAGATGATAGGTATAATAGATGAAGACGTATAATAGGTGGTAGGTAATAGATGAAGATGTATAATAGATGATAGGTATTATAGATGAAGATGTATAGTAGATGATAGGTATAATAGGTGAAGATGTATAATAGATGATATGTGTAATAAATTTAAATTAAATTTAATAAAATAAATTTATATTTATCAATATTATATGATAAATTTAATTTAAACATAATAAAATAAATTGAATTTTTTTTTATTTTCTGTTTTTAAAACTTTTTAAAAAAACGGAAAATAGAAAGAAAAAAAATTTAAACAATCTATTTTTTATATTTAATAAAAATAATAATTTTTACAAATGTTTTTTACAATTAATTACTGCCTAATATTTTCCATATAAACTATTTTAAAAGATTGTTTAAACAATTGAAAAAAGGCGCTTAGGCCTGCAGCATAAATCTACAAAGATTATAAGGCCTGCAGCATAAACCTACTAAATTTTTTGCAGCTTGTTTTCAAAGGTTTCCAGATCTTATCAGCAAAGGCAGATCAATTATAGAAATGCTTCTTTTTTAATGGATGTGTGAAATAAGGCGTATATAATGTGTAAAAAAAATGGAGAACTATTTATTTCTACTGTTGTTAAGTAACAAATAATATAGTTTTTAAATGTAAATAAACAAGTAAATAAATCAAAAACAAACAAATAATTAAATACATAAATATAATTAAAAAACAAGCAAACAACATGAATAAATAAAAAAACAACCATTAATAAGGTAATTAATAAAATGAGGAGATTTGATTGAAATGAGCAACAGATCAGATCATCTTTGTATAAAATTGCAAGGGAGGCACTGGAGTTTAGCAAGAGGACATTGACCACAGAGACATTTAAAAGAACAGACTATAAAAAGATCTATAAACTAGTTTTCTTCTATTTAGAAGTAGGTATCTCAGAATTTCATTTTCTTTAACTTCGAGTTTGCCATGAAGCCATCCACAGTTCAAGTATATTATCAATAATTTTTGTTTTAAAGAAAAAATATATTTTCAAATACTTAATAATAATTTATTCTCATAGTTCATGGCAGATGCTCTACACCTGCTGATCCTGAGTATAAATGAGATGGTAGCCTAAGTAATGATTAAGGAAAATAAGATGGTAAAGATGGTGGCATTCTTTATTTCTATATGCTATGAAGGACAAACCCACTTCAATGGAGTTGACTGCCTTTAAACCAGAACTAAGACAGGATCTTTTTATCACCATGCAGCACCATGTTTGATATTTAATACAGTTAGTTATGCTGGTCCTAGCCTACAATAATTTTCAACAGGAAGTGAAGAAATTGTTGTAGAAATTAAAAAAGTGTGATGTTCCAGAGCAGTTTGTTAATTATAAAAACCTATTGGTTATTAGGTCTACAGTGCTTAGTGAACTTCTAGGTTCACAGAGCTGGATTCTGTGAAAAATATCTCATTGTGAAGTTTTTAATGTTGGAAACACATTTGAAACAATAAAACACATAACGATATATAACCCATAACACAAATGCTAATTAAGAAAACTGTATTGCAATTACCAGATTATTGTTACCAAGTTACAGAGAGACAAGTTATGCCATTAGTTGATTTTTTAAACATTCCTTTAATAAGTATAGCTTCATATCTGTTTAGTGATTATTTTAATGCTCAATGTATTGATATAGGAGGTTGTCTCTTGGTAAAAAAAACTTACCATGTGTCCTTTATTAGGTGAAGTAAATACTGACCAGCATATCAATGTTTACTATATTATAGTAAATTCTTATATATTTACAATTCAGTCTAAATTTTATATGACTTAATAATATAGTAATTTATTTTCATGATTAAAAATATCAAGATATAAATGTTTATCTTTAATGAATTCTTTTACATTTGATTACCCATTTAGAAACAAGATTGTTGATTGTTGAAAATAATAGAAAGAATTTAAACAAACACAAAACCATTTAGGTTTTGTGTTTGTTTAATGTGGTTTTTAAAAGAGGAGGATGTATTTGATGAGAATCAAAAAACTGTGAAGATATCATCTTAAAAGATGAAACAAAAGATTTAAAAAGTAGACAAGAAGATGTAAATTTTCTCAATGATAAGAAAAAAATTGCATGTTCAAAAAATGAATACTATAATGAAAAAAATAAACAGTAACTCCAGCCTTTTAGAAAATTTAAAAATGTTGTTTCTATTTTTATTCAAAAAGATTTTGAAGATTTAACTCCAATTGAATCACAATTTGGAATAAATTGCACTGAATTTTGCATTGAGTGCAAAACTTACTCTTCTTCATGGTTTTCCTCTCATTGTGCTGCTGCAATTTTCAAATCAAAACCATTACTTTCATATATATCACCTAAACAATTCTCCAGAAAACAGACGTCTGTTTACTATTGCTAAAAACCATTGTAAAAAGTCTAACGCCAAAGAATGCTATTCTCAGGTCACAAAATCTTCTACTTTATGTCAAAAAATCTCCCAAGACTTCTGGAATGTCTTTAACAGTGTCTATAATAAGGGCAAAAATCTTATTCCACCTTTCTTGCATAGTTCTTATATAAGCTGAATTGTTTGCTGAGAAAATTTTATCAAACTCATCTCTTGATTCCACTAATCACATTTTACCTGATATAGCAAACAAACAGGTTGATCAATTGCTTGACATTTGCATTACTCCAGGCTATGTATCTAAAGTGAATTCCTGCTTAGAATTTTCTTCAGCTTGTGGTTCAGACAACATAACTGTTAAATTCTTGTAGTGTTCTCCGGAGTTGTAATCTAAACTTTCAAAACTACTTATAAAGTGCTTATCAGAGTCTTGTTTTCCAGTCTGCTGGAAAGCAGCATCTGTTATCCATATATTCAAAAATTCTGGAGAACAATCCTTGCTTATACTATCATAAGCAAGGTTTTTGAGTCTTTAATTAACAAAAACTTAATTTCTCATTTTGAATCTGATTATCAATATAGATTTTGATCTTCTCATTTTATTTTGTTAACGATAATAACCAATATGTTTTATATAAACCTTTGCATTAGATAGATGTGGAGGATAAGAGCTATCACTCTCGACCGTATTCTAAACCGTTGATTTTATGATCAGTAATGTACTCATTAAGTCATCTAGGATTTTATCTTCTAGGATTAACTCTTACTTTTAATCTTTCTTGAAAACCATATATCAAATCCCTTGCAAAATTAGCATCTCCTGAGGTTACTTTATCCTGCTTCTTTACTCCGGACTCCGTCACTATTTTACTCCGGATTCTATTCTTTATCTCCATAAATCTATAACTTGTCCTCGTATGGAATACTGGTGCCATATCTGGAGTGGATCTTTAAATAATGCTCTTTCTCTTTTAGACAAGGCGAAAAAACACATTGTAAACATAGTAAGACTTAGGCTACATTTAAATTTGTCTTTTCTTTAAATGCTTTAATGAACGCTGCTCTGAGTAGCTAGCGACTGTTGTGCCATCTACTAAAATTCATTCTCGTGTTACTTGCCATTCAATTAAGTCTCATCTTTTTTACTGTTCCTAAGTGCTCCAAAACTGCTTTTTTGTCTAGATTTTTTCCTTAAACATTTCTTTTGAATTCGCACCCATCATTTTGTTTTCCTGATTTATATAATTTGCAATTTTTTAAGTTGTCTGTTAATCGTTATTTTGCTTTATAGATTTCATATTTTGTGTTCCTGTAACTTCTGACTTTATTAGTGGTTGCTTGCAACCTTATTGGAAGTAAAAATGTTTTTGATTTGTGTTTACAGCCAGTTAATCTCTTTTTGTTCTACTAAAGATGGTTCTGACCATGCAATTATCTTTATAAATCTTTTACTCCTACTTCTTTTTTGGAATAATCCTATCATCTCACTACTTACTACTACTGGTATTTCTTTTCTAGATTTAC